TGGTGAATGGACTTTCTGGGTATGAGTGTGCCTTGGTTTCCCCCTTGTCCATACCCCTTAAATAATTAAAGATTTTAGTTCAGTTCAGTAGCCAAATTGCACTGATCTGAGCAATCTCCTTAGAATTATTTTCCTAGTTACAAAAACACACATTATAGGATACCTTCCTTCTATCATCATCAGCACTATACTGAATTATTACCCCATACTGCAAGCAAAAGTAGGATGTATTTCACCTGCAGAATTATTCCAATTGCTTTTAAGCCTAGACAGATAAAACCCACTCTTTGAGTGGACTGCTTACTTTCTGTGAAGAGTGCTTCATAACACAATTATCAGTGCTGAAACAAGTATCCTGCAGGATTCACTTAAGCCACACTGTGATCACACTCTCTTACTGAAGGGTTCCTGCTAAATCCATCCTTGGGCTGCACCTAGCAATTATCAAATCTGCAGGAGCTTACTGATCCATCTGACAACTAATTTTGGGAAGAAAACCCCAAACCCAAAACACCCAGCAACATAGGAAAAAACCCACCACAAAATCCCACACATCCCAGATTGGTTCATGGATCCAGCTGGAAACTACCTCACCCATTCTGCAACCACAGCCTAGAATCAACACAACCAAGAGCTGGGAGAAAATTTGCTTGAGGCATGACCTTAATTTAGCCAAAATCAATCAGGACACAGAGGATATTATATGCCTAACAGCAGACCCAATTTCCATTTACAAACTGCTCCTGCCACAGCAGTACAAATGAATTTTAAACGGATGCAAATGGACCAGGTATGTTTAAAATGTACTCTTGGCATGGATCCTCAACTGGAGTAAACTGCCATTGACTTCAAAGGAACTACATATCTACCCTTTGGGTGTATTTTTGGAGACTATTACTGTAGGCAATGAAAAAAGAAAGACTCCTAAGCAGTTTAAAACATACAGAGATTAATTTCTTTCCTTCAAAACATCACAGACTATGTGTGGGTTGCTGAAATGAATTTGGGGCTTACATATACTCAAAGGATTTACTGAGAGTGATAGAAATATCTACAAAAACCAGAAGATACAAACATAAAGAGAAAAGTGAATATAAAATACAAATATCTTTTGGTGAACTTTGAGGTTTTTTTCAGAATAGCCTTGTTTATATTTATTATTTCTCTCCATTTATGAGACAATTCATCAGAGAGATACTAATTTCAAAGATATTTCTGCTGGGGAAATATGAATGTGTTAATTGCTCTGCTCTTGTACACAACCAGAAGTCATATTGCTGTACACTATTCTTTTACACATAAAAATCCCTGTATGTGAAAATCTGAGTAAGGAGAACATAGAATTGCAAGCTTTCACACCAGCTATCTCAGTTCATACATCACTATCACTTAACACTTACCTGTTTCTGTATCTCAGTTCCTGCACCTCAGTGCTCATAAGATCAACTTTGAGTTTGCTTTATAATCTCTTGTTTTTCTACTGAGTCACTTGTGCTTGTTCCACCACAGGGTTCACCTTAAGAGGAAGTTTTCCCTTTTTCTTTCTCACATACAGGTTTCCCTCAAAAAGTAAGGTGCACACAAGAGGAAAGACCTGGATTGGCACAGATGGCCACTTATCCCAGGAATCTGGGATGGGGAATCCCGGAACATTTTGCACTGCAGTCTTCATCTGGAGGCAAATCCCTCCATGGGCAGGTTAGCTCTCAGCAAAAGCAGGTCAACTGGAAAAGTGGACAAGGAAAGAAAAACTCCCAATATAGCTCCCGACTCCTAAACCTTTGATCCATGAAGTACCAAAGGGTACTTTGTGTCATCACAGTATTTTCTAGTAGCAGGGACATTCAAGCGTCCTGAATTATGAGCCACCATTGACATCCATAAGAGCAAAGAATTGGCATTTGATTATTTACCAAGTCACATTTAAAGAAGATAAGGAATCCTCCTGGCTTTCCTTCTTCACATAAAGAAGTGTTGTAGTTGCTACAGAGATATTACAAGTCTTTAATGGAAAGGGGCTTCTATTAAAATAATCTGTTTTATTAAAAGGTGTAAATATCCTCTCATGGACAAAATTTAAAGTTTTGAGGCTGGGGGAAAGCTGGGGTTGGATATGGCATAAACAATGGGATTAGTAAACTCCCATAAAGAAAAGTTATCATCATGTAAATTGAATTAGAAATAATAATAAAAAATATCAATTAAATAAATTAACAGTAAGACTGTTAGTGAGAAGGTGGAAGGTAGTGCAGAAACAGAGAGCAATACCACTTTGTTTCTGTTCTGTAGGAGAGGAAAGCAGTAAAAGATGCATTCCAAGCACACTAGTTACTTCCTTGCTCTCTAATGACATAGATTAAATTTACTTTCTACATATCAAATCAGATTTAAACAGTAACATGAATCTGGATGTTCAAGGTGTGCTGATCCTGCACACCTACAAATTTAAAATCCAAATTATATTCACATCCTTAATACATTGACATCCAGAAGTATTAGAGTATCTAAAATAAGAGGAAAATTATAAGTACAAATCTGGGATCACGATTTTGACTGTCAGGTCTGGTTATGTGCTCAGGTATGATTTGATGTTATTTATGGGAGATTTCTGAATTCTCATTAAACCTCTGCCATAGCCTCTCACCAGAACTGGACAGGTACACAACAGCTTTAATTCAGTTTCTATATTTGCAAAATGAAAATGACACATCTCTGGGGTTAAAAGACTTTGTAAGATGCATTCAAGGGTACAGTCTTTTACTGCTCTCATCTTCATCAGAAAAGAATCTCAAGTTAGACTGAGATTGACCAATGCAAGCCATAATTAAACCTCACTGGTTTCTTCTGACATGTCACTGCAAACTATAAAATAAGAGCACAGTAGTTTAAATGTTATTTCATTTACTTTTACAACTGAAATATTTATCCAGGTCAACACCTTCTCTTATCCACGCTGAGAAAAATGATTAATGATGTGGCTCAAGCCTATACATGAAAATAAGTAAAGCTGCTATTTTATACTAGATTAGGATTTCACTTTCTTCCATGGGAAACAGTAATTCTGCACTTTTCCATACTATCCCACCTCTCTATACATGATACAGTGAGGTAACAGGAACATGAAAGTCTGCTCTTCTGTCTCAGTTGTGAGGCCCTTTTAGCAAAGAATATATTTCAGTAAAATATCTATCTCACATACTAACTTTGCAAATTCCATTACCTTGCAGTCTACTGGCACATAAGAACAGAGCTGGGACAGGGACTTTACAGAATGGTCCTGACAGATGCAGTAAACCAGACACTCCCAGACCAGACAGATCATGCAACAGTCAGAAAATACTTTCCTTTCAATAAGTGTTTTGAAAAACGTGACATAAGAAGTATCCCGTGCACAGAATTCAGACCTGAAAAGGTTAAAAACCTTCTACCAATTGATCAATGGAGTTCTAGAGTTTTAAAGCCAGAAATCACATTTTTTGTGCATGCTTACAAAACAGCCCAGGCCAAGTGAAGGTACAAAAGAATAACAGTTTATTACCACAACTTTTATAAGCCTCACGTCAGGTAGAACTGATCTTCTTCACATCAGCTGCTGTCAGACTTTCATTTAGTTCATTAAAATATCTTGTTTGGTCAGTTCTACCACTATAATTTATTTTAAACATAGTGAAAACTTAACTAAAGAGGCAACCTGACATTAAGCAGCCACTTAAAAGCCTTTCCAGATTACCACTCCACTCTTTGTGGTGAGGGTTTGGGCACAGTAAAGTTTTGAGCCAGATTCCACTTTCCCTTCATTTCTCAGATCACTTTAATGCAAATTCCAAATTCAGGCAGCACCACCACAGACATGTTACCGTCAGTGAAACCAGCCAAAACACGTTCTCTAGTTTGAGGTGGTCTCTTTAGCTAAGGTTGGGAAAAGGCCCAAAATTGTGATCACTGCTCTGGTTTTTAAACCCCACTTCAAAGTCAAAAAGCTGATTTTCCTCTCCTGCTGCTTAAGGCAAATTTAACTGGATACACATATGGCGTAAGTGCCAAACCCATTTAGAGTTGGAGGAACTTGCAAAACATACAGAGGCAGATTCTGTTGTTCTTACTCACTTTGAACAGCTCCAGCTAACCTAATGGAACTTCTCTACCCAATTAAGAAAAGCAAGATCCAATCCAAAAAGAATAGGCACATTTTATAGTTGAAAAACATACTCTGCACGAAGTACAGTGGTAATCTGGGGAGGCTTTAAAGCGGTCATTTAATGGACAGTTATATACATGAAAAAGCAGTAGGACTATCTTATTTCAGAATTTTTTTTAACAGGAACCACGTGTTATACTAAATTAATTATCCAAAACGTTTGTTAGTTGAGGGGAGGAATCTCCAACTCAAGGTGTTCTGGGGAGTCAAACTGTAAGTACTAATCTAATGGAAAACAGCACACTTTTGCATTAAGTTAATACAAAATATTCGATTGCAAAGTACAGGTCGCATTCACCAGCTCTGTTTTTCACAGGCAGGAATTTCAACAAGATGGAGTGCAAGGTTTTCCCAGAGAAGTCTTATGTCACTTCGTCCTTTATGCCCATGTGCACATATATTTATAAACAAACCGAGAACTACAGACGAACGACCTTCTTAAAACATCCGGTAAAAACACTATTTGAATCAAGGGGGGAGGAGGAAGGGGTGTTTTTTTTTTCAGAAGCAAAGCCACACGGCTGTAACTCCAAGCTGATCCCGCGGAGGAGCGGGGCAGGTGCCTCGGGGCACTACCCGGGACTCACCGGGACGGTTCCCGCCGCCTCCCCCGAGGGGTCCCCCCCCGCCTGGACCCCCTGCCCGCAGCCTCTCCTCCCTCCCACCCTCTCCTCCTCCATCACTTCCTCTCCCCCTGCCCGCGGGCCCCTTTCCCCCTCACCTCAGACCCTTTTCCTCCCCCGCCGTGCGCCCCCAGCCCGCCCCGCCTCGCCCTCCCGCTTCTCCTCCCCGCGGCTCTCACCCTCCCGGGCTTTCAGCAGCACCGTGTTGGCCACGATGTTCTCGATCTCCATGGTCGGGGGCTCCTTCCCCTCAGGGCAGCCGGAGCGGGGGCCGCCCCTACAGCCTCCTTCGCCCACTCCTCCAGCCCCGCCACCGCCGCGGCGCCAAGCCTCGGCTCATCCGGCCCCACAGGACCTCAGCGCCGCGCTCGCCTCTTCCCCATCACCCGCTGCTCGCCCCGGCACCGCGCTCCCCCTCCTCGAAGGCGGAGGCGGGGAGCGGGCAGCTCCCGCCCGCCCCGGCCATGGCTCCTCCGCCCGCCCCAGGCTGCACCGCCCCGCGCTCCTGCGCCACCGCCCCCTCACAGCTGCCTGGGACTACAAATCCCAGCAGGCACAGCGCGGCGCACGCGGGGGAGACGTCGGTGCTGCCGCGCGGAGCCTTTTGGGATATGCAGTGCGCTAAGCCTTCCCCCGACTCGTCTCAAAGCGGGAGGGGAGGAGAGTGTCAGTTATCGCGGTAGTTTGGCGGAGATCTCGCGAGAGGTGTGGGGCTGCCGGTGCGCATGTGGTGCTCCCTGGCACTGCCGAGGGGAGAGTGGGGACCGCGCCGCTCCCACCGCTCCTCTGTCTTCTCCTCCTGCCTCCCCTCCGCTCCCTCCTCCGCTCTGCGCCCCTCCGGCTCTCACGGGGGCTGAGAGAGCTGTCCCGAAGGGCAGCTGTCAGACCGAGGGGCAATTCGGGAGGTTTTGCCCCCCCTTTGGCGCCATTTTGCTCGCCCTGTTCGCCCCCCCCAGCGCTGACCCCGAGCTCTGTGAGGGCTGAGCCGCTGCCTCCCCTCAGCCACGGGCAGCCAGAGCAGAGATGGGGAAGGCGGCGAAGAGGAAGAGAAAGGTGTCGGGGCCCTCCACAGCCAAGGGCCCCGTGAAGTCGGCGATGGCCGTGGTCAAGAGCAACCCCTTCGAGGTGAAGGTCAACAGGCAGAAGTTTGACATCTTGGGGAGGAAGACCAAGAATGATGTGGGGCTACCTGGTGTCTCACGGTCCAAGGCCATCAAGAAGGTAAGAGGACATCCAAAACAGGGAGAAAGGATAGCGTCTCTGGATGTGGGGCTGGAGCCTTCTCAGGTGACATAAGGGACCACCTTCGTCGTGCACAGGAATGTCTGGTCACCTCCCACTGCTCGGGAGATGGTGGGGAGCTCTGGGAATGGCTCCCACCAGTGCAACCCACAGGATTCAGGAGTACAAGTCTTCCTTATGGCTTGTGTGGGAATGATTCTCTTTTCAAGTTACCCAGATCCAGAATACAGTGGCACGTGTTGTCGGCGAGCAATTATGGGACCAGAGTGCTGTCAATGTTCAATGCGTTGGTGGGTTTTGGTGATCATAGGATGTTAAAACTTCTTGATAATGGTGCTGTGTTGGTGTAATGGTGAAAGCTTGAGTGGGCTCTAAGGTCTGAATGCAGGGAGAAATGTGTGGATACAAAGAAACTACCACTGACCTGGAAACAAGTGCGGGTAACCTTTTGCGCACTGATTAAATAGTCGTGTTGTAGAAGCATGCAGTGATCTGTCCTCTGCTCTCATAAGAATGATCGTACAACTTAACAGGAGTAAATCTTTTGTCTTCCAGCTTTGTACTGTTCTAAAATTGTCTGTTTGTCTTTCTCTGCTGCCATCACCAGCTACCTGTCTAAAATCTGTAATGCGTAAGGGAGAGCATGTCCTACTCTGCGTCTGGGATTCCAGCAGCCTACCTTATCCTTGGGTGAAACACTGGATTTTTCAATGATCTGTCCCTTCAAACAAACCAGCAAAGAAAACCTCTGTAGATTCAGTTAAGGCTGAAAAAAGTATAATTTGAAAATGTGCCCCTGAGATTCTCTCTGACATGTTACGTACATTCTGTTTTCAAACAGATTTAAAGCACTTGCTGAAAGGACAAGTGCAGCAAAAGCAAATGGATAGTTTGTCATTTTGCATGTGAGAGGTGATGTATTCAGTGATTTCTTTTTAATCAGCAAGAGAGGTAATCAGATAATTGATAAACAAAAGTGCTTTTCAATATCCAAGTACATATTAAAGTACATACACAGTGTTTAAGCTGCACGATAATTATATTTGTGCAAGAAGTAGAGACAAGGTAGAACTGGTACAACAGTAGATGAAACCTGAGCTTTGGTGTCGTTTACAGCCACATCTGAAAGTTGTAAATGCTCAGTGAGGCTGCAGAGGCCTCATGTAGGAAACAGGTCCTTTTCCTTCAGTGCAGCACTTTGCCAGGTCCTGGCAATATGAATGGCAACAGCACTTTCCCTAGGATTCATTTAATGTATTTTTAATAAAAATGGATATTTTTTCAACCTAAACACAGCCAACATTTTCTTTTTTAGAAACTATATAGTATTTTCAGCATAAAATTATAAATTAGCTTTCAGTCTTCAATGCTATTTGTCAAGATTTTAGAAAACTTCATGAATGTTTTAGTTCACATTTTAAGAGTTGGGGGTTTTCTTTCCTGGTAAAGTGAATCAGATGCTTGTCGTGAATTGGATCACTGGCATTGAAAAGTAAACCTGTCTCCTTACTTGTACCTTAAATAAGAGTGCATTGTAACCACTTTGGGTGGGTGTGATAAATTTTCTTTTACTGTCTTGATGCCTGACCTCTCTGTGCTCAACAGCAAAGCACAGAGCTGAAGATATGGACCCACTTGGGGTTGTTATGTCTTAGATGAAAAGACCAAAAAAAGTTCAGCTGACTTTTTCTGGCTTTTTTGCCTTCTTTAATATAATATTCTTTGTTTCCTAAGCTTCAGGCGAATCAGAATTCTTTAGCAGAAAGGCACAGTTTTTATATGTGATCAAATAAAGATACAGTGTAACATATTTTATTTTCACATGGGCGGCTTATAAGAGAACTTAGTGACACTGAATATATTGCATGAACTTCCCATCTTTTTTTCTCATTAATTTTTCCTTCTCTTTCATTGCATTCTGATAAATTATTATATGATGGCAACATAAAGCTTGTTATGTTGACAGGATACCATGGAACCATTTTTGCCTTGACTTAGAAAGTAGTTACTCTCTTTGTTTTTTTTTTTAATTTTATCTCCTTTTGTCTTTTTCCCTCTAGCGCACCCACACATTACTGAAAGAATATAAAGAAAGGGAAAAGTCAAATGTGTTTAAAGATAAACGTTTTGGTGAATATAACACCAATATCACTCCAGAGGAAAAGATGATCAGACGATTCGCTTTGGAAAGACAGGTAAACTATAGGAGTTTAAAGAAAAGAAAGCAAAGCAAAACAAAACCAAACACAAAACCACAAGGAATGCTTGACTTTTGAGAGCACCCCCTTAGCAGAGGATTTTGCAGCACAATGCTTTATTTTTTATATGTTTGGAACTTAAGAAAAATGAATTTTTTTGTGGGAAATTTTTTCATGAAATCTTTCTGGTTTTGTAAGACAACTTTTTGCAGGATAAATTTCTTTGAGCGCTGAAATTCAAGGAAGCCAGTTATAAGCAGATTCATTGATTATTTGGTGTTCTTGAACTGCTTTCACTACTATGATGTGTGAATTGAATTAGGAAAAGGCAGCAACTGTCAAGTGTACTTTGAGATTCCAGTACAGCTGGAGAACAGCAGCCATTTCATTTGCTGAGTAGAAGAGCTCTGTAACTTGCTGTCATTCTGTAAAGTGAATTGTGTGCATAGTACTCTCCTTTCTGCCTCATCATACTCAGCCTCCAGAATTGAGTAGTGTAATGTCATACCCTGCTGGTAATTTGTATAGCTTTAAGTCTGTTTCGTTAGGCCTGAAATGTAGTAATTAGAAACTGATGTTACAGATATAGATAGAAGTTAAGCTTCCTTAGGTTTTCTGAGTCAGTCCATTTCTACATTAGTATAAGAGAGACATGATACTCCCTCACTTAAGGTTTAATATATTTGAATGAAAGTATTGGTCTGGTAGTGCTCTTATTCCAGTCTTGAGTTCCAGCAAAACACTGGAATAAGAATCTCCTCAACTAGTACTAAAAATACAGGTTGTGTTAATTTGTTGTCTGGGAGCTAAAAATCTTTTGATATTTAATGGGTGTTTTATTGTTCTTAGCAAAATTATGGAAAGAAGAATATCTATAACCTTAACGAAGATGAAGAATTGACTCACTATGGCCAATCTTTGGCAGAAATTGAGAAGCTAAATGACATTGTCGATAGTGACAGTGACACAGAAGAAAGAGGAACACTGTCAGGTAAGATGTGCCAGCTGGTGTCCCACTGCTGGTTTTATTGTTGGTAAATGTACATCATTTGTTCAGTCCTCTCTCTCAGTGAGGAAGAACATTATGTACTTGGTGGGAATGTTTAAGCCAGATTTAATTACTTCTTAACCACACACAGACCAGCTCTCTGGATTTTAGCAGATGTTAAGTTGGACATACCTACCTGGCGCTTCTTTACTCTGTGAGCTTCTCAGCATGAATAGGTACCTGTATTTTGAACTCTCGGGCCAGAGTCTGAAGAGTGAGTTTTCTGGCTGCTTTCTTGCACCTCTGAACCTAACTGCCAGATAAATATTGGAAAAAAACATGTCCCTACTTCGTACAAAATGTTTGTTAGTGTAAATTATGTGTCTAATACAATCTCTTTTGGTACAGCCATTCTGTAGGGATGGGAATAATGCATGATTGGTTCAATAGTTCTAATTGCTCCCATTCTCCAAGAATAGGGAGATACTGCCTCAGCAGCAGCTCTCCTGCAGTCATGTATGGATTTGAAAAGGATTCACATTCTACTTTTTTTTTCCCAGCTGAATTAACTGCTGCTCACTTTGGAGGGGGTGGAGGCCTCCTTCGTAAAAAAGTGTCAAGTGGGCAGCAAGATGAAGAGGAGGAAAAACCTAAATCTAGGAAAGAACTCATAGAAGAGATGATAGCCAAATCTAAACAAGAAAAGGTGAGTTTTTAGCCCTGAAGTACAAATGAGCATGATTAAGAAGCTGTCATGATTCCTGTGTTTGCAGAAGAGAATAGTAATGGCATAGAAAGCAAAGGGGAAGCTGTCTAAGAGAAGAGTCTGAGCTCCTTGAATAAAGTCTGCCTGACTTTGTAGGCATTTTGGGATATGACTTGAATATCTGCCATTCTTTTGTATCCCCAAATCTCCCATTCTGTTGACACCTAATTTGGTTTCTGTATGCAGCTCTTGTACCATTCAGCATAGCTCTATATTGCTTCTTCTACAAAGAATGTTTGCACCTTATAAATGTTAAATGTCT